CGACCCCCGGAGCCCGGGCCACATTGTGGTGGCCGCCCCGCCGCGGTGGGCGCCCGCCGACTATTTTTAATTAATTTCTGAAGGCGGCCCGCGCGGTCCCTGCAGCCGCACGCGGCTGGCTGGCCGGGTGGAGGAGGGGAACGGGGGGACCGGGGGTTTTGCTTTCGGGGCCACCCCCCACTGGCCTCCCCGCCCGGCTTGCCGAGCCGGCTGGGTCAAGCCCCCCCCGAGGGGCATTTTCAGGCCCTTGAGGAGGCTCGGGGGATTTTTTAAATATTTTTAAATATTTTTTGAAAAGATGACGTCTGGGGAAATGCGGCCGGCGGACGCCACCTTTGTGTCTGGAGCGCGGCTTCCCCCCCGGCGGCTAGCAGCGCTGCTGAGGGGATCCCACCCGGCTGGGATCCAGCGGGCCCTGTGGATCCCCCACTCCATCGATCCAGGGGAATGACCCCCTCCCCTTTTTTTTCTTTTAACCCCACATTTTTACATAGCCTTCCCCCCTCCCCCCATTCACTCTCAGTTTGGTTCCTCTCATCCTCCCCCTTCCCACATGGGTTTTACTCAGGGCATTTTCACATATCCCCCCACCCCCCAATATTCAGCCTTGCAGCGGAGTGCAAAGGGGGAGGGAAGGGAGTGGGGCTCGACTCCCTATTGATGCCAGGCCTCCTTTCAAGGACCTCTCTGGTTTGGCAGGTTTGTGAGGAGCAGAAATGCGAAGAGGAGGTCTTCCCCTTGGCTATGAATTACTTGGACAGGTTTTTGTCCTTCGAGCCCCTCAAGAAGAGCCGGTTGCAGCTGCTGGGAGCGACCTGCATGTTCGTGGCTTCGAAAATGAAGGAAACCATCCCGCTGACGGCAGAGAAGCTGTGCATTTACACAGACAACTCCATCAGGCCGGACGAATTACTGGTAATTTGGGGCTCGCCTCCTTGGGAGACCCAAATCCAATCCTGCCCAATGCAGACCAGTGGAAGCAAGATCGGGAAAGGGGGGAAGGACAAAAAAGACAGGCTTCAGAGAAGAAATTGCAGCTGACTTCCTCACATCTGCCCGTAGGACCTCTTGACTTCCTCACATCTGCCTATAGGGCCTCTGCATAATTGTGCACCGTTCATTCAGGAGAATTAGCCCTCATCTACCCACCACTTCCCAGTAACTTCATTATTGCACGTGGCAGCAGCAAATGTAGCTTTCAGGGCTACCTCAAAAAAAAAATTGCAGAGCCCCAGAGGGAGAGTGGACCCTCCCCACTCCAGTAACATGAGCCACGTGGGGGTCCTCTGCACCCTCTTCCCAGTGCTGGTTAGGACTGAGCCAGCTTAGTTTAATTTGAGCAAGTCCCTAATATGTGAAATCCTTGCCTATTACCTCACTGAAAGTACAGTAGCGTAGGCAAAAAAATATGGGCGGGTGGCGCCCTCTTGTGTTTGGAGCATATAGTTCACATGCTTCATTTCAGAGCAGCTGGGTGCTGGGGACGTGTGGGGGGGGTAGAGGTGGAACGGACCTAAGTTTCATACCTAAAGGTAGCCACATCTAGGCACCATCCTGCTTGTGAACACTGCCAACAGCATGGGAGCAGCACTGGTTAGCACAAAGTATTTTCGTTATCAGCCTCCCAGGGAGCCAGTGCATCGAAGAGATGCCAGTGCTTTAGGATTCCATAATCAGATAAACACAATTCAAAGCTAGATACCATTTTAAGATATTTATACACAGAGTTTCTAACCACATTTTCCTTCTTCTTCACTTCCCTTTCCCCCTTCCTCTTTGTTTTCATAGCAAATGGAGCTGCTTCTGGTGAATAAGCTGAAATGGAATCTGGCTGCAGTGACCCCTCACGATTTCATTGAACATTTCCTTACTAAAATGCCTCTGACTGAGGACACCAAGCAGATTATTCGTAAACATGCCCAGACTTTTGTGGCTCTGTGCGCTACAGGTATGAGCCCTGCACGCTAAAAAAAGGTGTGTTGTTCCCTTAGCCAAGCACACACTTTCCCCCACAACTTATGAGGCTGCCCCTAGATTTACTGTAAGCCAAGTTCACAGCACTCTGTGCCAGTAGTTTTAAGCACTGATTGTTGTAACATTGTTTACAGAAGGTGGATTACTTTGCAGAAGGTAAGTTTCTCAGAAGATGTTTCTCTTCTGAGTTTTTAAATGAAGTAAATACATAAAGCTCTGCAAGTAAGGAGGAGAAATAAACTGATTTCTGTAGCTCAGGGATTTGTTGAAGCTCAGCATGGCTAGATTCTTCATCGGTGTGTATCAAGACTGGGGCAGGCCTGTCAAAAGATCCCTGTTCTAGAGGGACAGTCCCTCATTATGGATTCCTTGTAAGGCAGTTTTGAAAGTCTTTAGGCAGGAAGATTTGTGCGTGTTTAGCTTTATATTGGAGTTCATAATCTCTCTCTTCGAGTTGCCCCTTCCCCCTTGTCTGCCCTTTCCCCTTGTCTGCGGATGGTGGATTGGAGGAGGGCCGTACAGCGTGGAGGCTTTTCTGGCACAGGATTGAGTCTCTGCCGTCTGCACCACGTGTCATGCCGAAGCCATGTGCAGGGGCCACCTCAGGAGGAGCCAGAGACACTGACTGTTCTCCAGGCCGCATTTTCAGAGGCCTGATCTTTGGTTTCAAGGGCACTGTGAATTTGTGCTAGTTCCCTAAACTCTGTGTATAAAGGTGGTATGGGAGTGTGTGTACATTTTACCAATGGAATCCTAACAAGTGGAGAGGAAAGGAAGACTGGGAGAGTGACGCTGTCTTTCTAATCTCTAGACACCACCGTTCCTGAGTGAGAGGAGGAAGGTGACAAGACAAGGGCATGTTTCAAAGGGTAGATCAGTTAAAAAAGTTAATCACATTTCATGTGACTGCCTTTACTATGGCAAGAGAGGCCCAAAGGTGACAAGAGAATAAGGAAGCAAAAGCAGCCAAAACAAATGTTCTTTTGAGGGAAGCCTGCGGGATCATGTAAAGATGAACGTCACGGATCTTGTTTGACTAAATAAAATTGCCCTGGGAATGAGCTGCATCACTGTATAAAGTAGTAACGTTCAAGGGTAATTCTGCCAAAGGAGTGCTTAATCTAGCATGGCTCTCAGTCGTTTGGTCTCAAGAAAAGGTGTCCTAACTTGGAAGCCGAGGATGGTTATATTTGGGCCAAATTCATCCTTGATGTAAGGTACTGCACAGGAGCATCAAGGATAAATTTGGTCAGATGGAAAAAGAAAATAATGGCCTCACATAGTCACTCTCTCAGAAAGATCTGCTTGGAGGTAGAACTCAGAATCTCTAAATGTCCCTAAATATTGGTAGGCCTCAGCTTTGCCTTTCATCCTGGGCCTAACATCAGCATGGCAAGCAGTTTACAAGTTTGATTGACCAGAAAAAAATCTCAATGCTCTGCTTCTACAGTTGGAGTTCTAGAACCCTTCTAAGCAGTTTTTTAAAATCTTAAACGGATGTTTTTGGAAAATCAAACGTGTTCTTGAGGACAGAGACTCAAGCAGAACAAGATGGCAAAGAATCCTAATGTTCAATTGCCTGGTTTGAAGCTGTCTCAGTTGTACCTGCTGTTTCTTTGTAACTATATAGTCTCCCTTTTGACTGTGGGGATGTTTAACCTAGGTTGTTGTGTTAGCAGTAACAGTGATGAAAACAAGAGTAGTTCAAAGGTTGGAAGACTGCTAAGAGTCCAGTACTTTGATCTACTGTCAGTGTTGTTATGTTTCTTTTAGAAAGCACATCCAGAGCCTTTATTAAACACTGTGCTACACATCACATGGGTAACTGGAAAAATGCATCGGTGAATGTGAGCCGGGTTCAGAAAATTTTACATAGCTTTTAGAAATAGTCCTGAGGTCACTGAGATTTTGGGTTCTATTCAGCACTTAGCTGAAGTCAGTAGCAATGTTGCCTGAGTAAGGAGTGCTGAATACTGAGCTGATTGGCTTTGTATTTTTATTTATTTTCTAGATAGCAAGGGTTCCTCCCCTGTCCTTCCCCCGACTTCCTCCCCTCCCCCTTGCTTTTTTCCCCCCGATGGTTCCTATATTGACTAGTATTGACTAGCGATGTCCAGGTAGAAATTAGAACAGGATGAATATGTGACTTCTGTAGCATGTGAACTTGACTTTGCTGTTGGTGGTGGGTATTGCATTTTTTCCTTACCAAACCTAATCTAGATGCATTGTAAATGTGTTGTGTTTTTTTTCTCTAATGCCTGGTGGGCCTGATCTAAAAGCCCTCTGAAGGCAGCCGGAAATTGACTCTCAGTAGCCTTTGGATCAGGTCTTCTTGAACATTGCTCATGATATGTCCTGTGCCCAAAGTTAATGGCAGAGCACTTAAGAAGGCACAGTATAGGAACTACTGGTACTTATTTGAAAGGAAAGAAAAGTGGTGTGCCAAGGTGAAGGCACAGGAAGTGTTTAAGATGTATGTGTCTATATGGTTCTCCAGATAGAAGAGATTACAGTAAAAGGTGATCTTAAGTGGAATTTTTTTTTATGCTTGCTCTTGATTTTTCTGCCTTGTAGGAGTGGATTTGTTTAGCTTTGTGTTTTTTTTCTTAAATATATTTTCACTGAAGGATGCCTTTGTGCTGTGGTAGGTTAGGGAGGGGAAGAGAAAATTACCAGGGGTTGTTTGAAGTTAACACATAATTGAGCTTAATGAATGGTGCTTTGGCATGGCCAAGCAAGGCAGGGATAACTGAAAAGGAAACAGGCCTCTTGGCTCAAGTTAAGACTAATATTAAGGGAAAACTCCAGCTCTATGCAAGCAAAACAATGAATAGGAACAAATATTGGGAGCCTCCAGCATTTTATTATGTCCCCCTGGTTATCTAAACATAGTGGGCTCCTTTTTTACTATTGTTGTTGTTATGATTATTATTACCCTGGCTTTCCTCCTCACTGATGGAGGGAAAAAGACCTCCCTTTGATACAACTTTGCCACAATTCTCCTATTCTCTGGCCTTTATAAAATTGGGAGGCTCAAGGTATGTGACCAGTTGGAACCTGTTGCATCTTGCAGCAAGTGATTTATGTTCACAGTTTTGATTTGCCTCAATGAAAAGATTTTCATTCATAGCCCCCAGCTCTCCAGACGGATGGAATTGCTGCTCCATTTAAAAAGGAAAAGGGGTGACTCGCCTTGTTAGGAATTTTTTTAAAGGGCTGTAGCGCCTAGATGCCTGCTTTGTCCTCCCTTCAGGGTGGCTGGCATTCTTCTCTCTCCTCCCCCTCCTCTCTCTCTCTCTCTCTCTCTCTCTTTTTAACAACGCTGAAGTTGTTTATTCTTTTTGGATGAAGTCTCAGATAGGCTACTGGGGATGTGTGCTTCAATTGATGGGGCCCCCTTCCCCATTGTGGCTGTGTCAGGTCTAATTCATCTCACCGAAGCCCCCTTGTTCCTGAGTGCTCAATAGCGCAAGATGAGGCGATGGAGGCTGACAATGATGCCACACTCTTCACTTGGGGGCATCCAATTACAGGCGAGAGGGGCCCCCTGATTAATATGCGGAAATTAGTGGCCTCTGCCACAAATAATTCCTTGTTGAGTTGCAACAAAAAGACAGTCCATGCTGCTTGTCTGGAGTGGTCATGGGGACAGACACAAACTGGTCATTTAAACTTCATTATCACTTTTCCACCTTGGAAAGAATGAGGGTGTGACTATGAATTCATGTTCTTTGAATGTTCATGAATTCATGTTCACGAATTCATGTTTATTGCCCTTTTTAAAAGAAAAAAACAAATATGAATCCCAAACTTGCTCTTATCTGAATGAACTCATTACCCTTGTGCATTTTGGCCATATTTTTGGAGAGGGTTTTTTGTGCAGAAACGAATAAATGCTAGAACTAATTTGCTGTGACTGCACGCATCATGCATACAGCTGAATTTTGGTGAACTAAATCTTAAGGTCTATTTAAGCTCATATATTTCACCTACAGCAGCCTCTTGTTTTTTTCCAAGTCTACCTGAAACAACATACCAGGGACTAATTTGGGTGTACCTAATATTAGGTACTTTCTGTGTAATGTATATATTGGCAATAATCAAATAGATTTTTTTTTGGAAGTAGAGGCCTTTATGAAGTGTGCTTGTATGTGTGTGGAGGGTGGGGAAGGTGGAGGGTGGGGAAGGTGAATTAGATTTGCCTCATATAAGGCACAAAGTTTAAATGAGTGTGGACAAAGATTGGCTCTAAGATGACAATACATCATCACATCAAAAAACCTCTCACACTTAATCACGTGTTTAATTTTGAAGGTACTTAGAATTCCATAAAATTCTGGGCAAAATGCCCTTTGGAAGGTGGGTATTGTTTGGGACTACAAATGGAGTTTCAGAGATATAAGCTCCAAATTGTATCTGTTAAGTACATGCACTATGTGTTTAGAACGTGCAGAGGGGAGGACTTTCCGACAGAGCCCGAATACCACAGTTCCACTGGTAAAACTTTCACACACACATTGTTTAAACATAATATTTAATGCTGAACCTGCTTGATAGAGTGGCCCATTTCCTTGATTTGATTTAACGGCTTGTTAGATAGCTTGTTT